CCCCAAAACCCCAAAACCCCAAAACCCCAAAACCCCTTCAGAAGATTTTATTTAAATTTAATTCAAACTATGCCGAAGCACAAGAAAACTCTAAATAGTATCCAAAGTAGGAGAAGGAGAGGGAAAGATGTGATCAAGATTAATAAATTAGTCTGCGTTTTCAACTCTAACTTTGGGAAATGCTCTAATTTCAACATCAGTAATACAAATGAGCTCAACACAGAAAGGAATATGTCCACACACAGGAAGAGAAACAAAGATCTGTCCACCTTGACGCACTTTTCGAAACAGAAATCAATCTCTAAATCAAAGTCTAAATCGAAATCAAGGAAATAAGATCGGATTCGAGAGTAAGTTGTTCCTCAGCAATATTGTTACATATAGCCTCTGTGCCAAGACTGAAATTGAAGAGTAAAAATAAAAAGAGTTCGAAGCTAGGCTCTACCACTGCAAGGTATTTGTATATCTAAGGTATAGATCTACCAAACGGACTCTCAGACAGAGTGCTATAATCAACAGTAGCAACAGTAATAGCTTCCGTGAGAAACGGTTGATTATCCACAAGCTACGTAAAGCGATAGACAACCAGACGATTGATATGAAGGTTTGCTTGATTCCTTTATTATTTTCACTAATTTCTGTCCTAATGATATTTAGAGAAGACCGATTCTCAGCAACAAAGAGTCATCTGTTAAGATAAACACAGCAAGAAACAAATTCTCTGGCCTAAAGTTCAAAGGGAAAGTTAAGGTATTTCATGAACAATTCTGTAGATTAAGCCAATCAAAGGAATTAAGTTTACCAGAAAGCCTTCCAAAAGGTATCATTTTGCTCAAAAATAGAAGAAAATAACCGCAAAGCTAATAAAGATAATAAAAATCAAATCGAATTTAAGGTCAACGAGATGATGATTGGCTCAAGTTCACTTCTCGATGATAGCACCTTACAACACAAGAAGACAACCTCTAATGTACATCGGTGGGATAACCTCTTTAGAGCACAGTTTGCCTCTCCCGTATTAGCAACTCAGGACTAAATAATAACGGGAAATTAAACGAGTCCTCCTTCCTCAAAGTGATGGATAAACTTGATGAAGAAGATGGCAAGGAAAAGGCCTCTCCAGAGAAAGACTCAAAAGAAGTAGTGCTTAAAATGAACAAGCTAAACTTAAACCTTGTCAAAAACAACTACAATAACATTATTATGGTTGAAAAACAAGAGGAGGAATCTTCTCTATGTATCCAGAGTATGAGGAAGAACCTACTAGAGAATATCAAGAGAAACAGTAGACTTCAACTAACTTTTATAGAAGTTCAGAAGCATGGTTTTTATGAAGACTCACAATCTCCACGCGATAATGGAATTTTTACTGAAAGAGTACAGCAATTTGCAGATGTAAGGATTGGTTTCATTTGATATGTTAATACTTCTAGCCACTCCATACTCTTTCAAGACTTCTGGATCCAAACCTTCAGGCTAGTAACCCAATATCCACTGCTAGAGTGATGGCCTCGCATCAAAAGAGCGTTGAGAGGTCTCTTCCAAAGACGAAATCCTTCTGTAGGCTTCCTCGTAGATCAAAATACAAGACCTAAAATGCAGTAAACTTTAACATTATTGTAAACCCCTGATTTTGGTCAAACTGGGAAATATCAAATTTTCTACGGGATTTCAAAAGGAAATTCAAGATTTTAGTTCATCTAGGAAGTCCCATTATAGAAGGGAGTTCGAGTCGAGCGTTGTCCATCCGATTTAGTCCAAATCATGCACTCAATAGTTTAGTCACTAAGGAATAGCAAGAGTTCAAATGGAATTCAATATTTGAATTTTAGAGCGGGGTTTTGGGGTTTTGGGGTTTTGGGGTTTTGGGG